ACTGTGACATTTTTTCCCCAGATGCTACAGTGACTTGAAACCTCCCATTTCTGCCAACATACCCATTTCTGTCAGGGTGCTAGTGAGCCCACCTTTCCTATTCTCTGCAGCAAAAGCCTAGGATATCCATAAGCCCATATATAAAACTCAAATGCTTCACTTACTAGGATCAGGAGCACAGTAACAAAATCACAAATAGGATTTGAATAAAAAGTTCAAGACAGAAAGGAAGGTGACATATAAAATTAGAGAACCTGTATTTTAGTCCATTGCAGCATTACACTGCAGACAAGACACGTTGTCTTAATTTTTTTAAGACACTGAATCTTCATCTGTTACAGTTAGCAACTACTTGCACTAGGAGGGCAGGGTCATGCCACGGCACAGAGAAGACAAGGCAGAACAGGGACTAGACGGGCCTTGCCACAACCAAACACAATCCCTCCCCAGAACGGGGAAGGGGGGTGGGGGAGAGAAGGCATCACCACATGGCAGACATGTCCAGACATTGCTTCCTCATACGGCAGCTCATTTCACACCCAATCACTACAGACATTCTTCCATCAGCATCTGAACGTCCTACAACCTCCACAAAGATCTAAGATGATAAATTTTCTCTGGATATTTGTGTTAATCCCATCCAATGTTGTTTGCACACGTAGGGCTTGCCATAATGCTCCTCATGCACTTATCAGCTGGGACTGCAATCCAGTTCCCTATAATCAAGAGGCCCATCTTCCCTCTAGAGCTGCAATGGATATTGTTCTTTAACCCCTCTGCGCACAGATGTAGAAGTCTTTGTTTTGGTCTTGCAACGGCTTCAGGCTGACTCACTGCTCCATCTGCTGTGAGAGTCAAAGCATACGCTTCTTGTCCTAGGCTGCAAGCTGGTACTTCATGCAATTGAAACATCAGCTGTCACATCATGCAGTTTCAAGGTGATGGCAGTACAGTCTTCCGATACCCTGGGAAAAAGTATGTCCCTGAAGCATGCAGTGAGAATAGCAAAGCAGAGCATGAATTTGGGTGTATGAGTGAGGACTGTGTTAAGTCTTCCAAAGGCAGAAGAATAAGGAAAGATCTAAGTCAGCTACCCACAACTAGCCACTGAAGCATCAGTGAAGAAATACAGCACAGCAGAGGCTGCAATGACAAATATGACGAAAGTAATGACAATTCCAGCTTCACTGCAGGTTGGTATTGTTGAACTGCTATGTGGTATGCCAGAGATGCAACGACTTGCACAGGATTTTGTCTAGATAAAGGGCAATTCTACAATGCCTCAAGTCAGAGCCCTGAGTCACTCAGGCCTAGCAATCCACAGCAACGAAAGTTGAAACATTTTCAGAGGTCTGGATTTAACTGACCTGGTTAGTTAAGTCTGTAGCAATACCAGGAAAATAATCGCTATCCCTCAGTTCCTGATTGTGCTGCAGTTGAACAAGCAGACTCAGGTTCTTCTCACAAAAGCAGATCTAGCAGAAATTCCAATGTTTTGCGGTTTCTTTTTTTAAGCTGAAGAACATTTTTACCTATTAACCTATGCAGCATCTGTTCAGACTTAATCGAATTCTTGAACATTTGCTTTGCTACCTTGTTTCAAGTTTTGTTCCAGTCATTATTCAAACTAACAATCACGTTTGTTAAAATCACCAGTAACTGTCCAGTCCTGGTGCCGACAAATTACCTGTTTCTTTTTGTTAAGCAAAAGGCTAAGTCATTTGCCTGTTACTGCATTCATTAATTAAAAAGCGTAACAGTATGATCAATTCTGAACGGTACTTCTTTCCACATTGAACAAGACGTTGAAAATACTTTCATGTAGATTATTCTACCGATCCCTTTTCAAAAGTGCTTGGTCGAGAGTCTGTGAACGGACTCCCAGCTCTGGATGAAATCCAGGGAGGTTCTACTTTTCTATTCTTATTTCCAAAGTTAGAGAGGCACCCTGTTCTCCTCCATCCTTAAGAAGAGACAATTACTAGCTTTTCAACAATCCTCATAATGAATCCAAGTGAAGAGACCAAGGACTCGTGCAGATTTGTTCACGCCTTTTTTAAGCAACACAACTGAAAGCACTGTGTGCAGAGTAGCCCTATGATGGACTACCTAATCTGAGATAGTTCAGAGCACCACAGAGGTGCGGTGCCAGGACATCAAAACCTCAAGAGAAACAGGCTAAGGGGGAGGTGGGGGCAGTTAAAAATGCTTAGCAATTTTACCATCAGTGTAATTAGATACAATTAGGTGACTTAAGAACAGCATTAACCTTGTCTTGTTCATTAGATAGCAGCTTCTAAGAAGAACATGTCTTAATGCCTTTGGCTTTCATTGAGATTTATGCAGAAAAATCCACAAATACCCTTTGCTATCTTCCTTTCCTTTTATACATTATTATGTATAAAAAAAATTCTATCAACACAAAATTTTGAAGTTTAGTTTATAAAAAGTTTCACAAAGGTTGTTTAAACGGCATGTCCACTTTAGAGCAACCAGAAGATTCAATATAAAAAGAGGATGATAACTAAGGATCACTCACACGTAGGTTAACAGGTTGATACTGACGAATGTGCATGTAGTGAACCCGTAGGGTTTTTTGAAAAAACATTTCAAGTGATTGCTTACTCCAAACTCCAACATGAAGTCAAGCATTGACTACGCCACGTGTCGGAAACAAACAGTTTAAGAATAACATTGAATCCTGGCTTAGTTAAAAAAGTTCAAGCATAGTCTGAGCAGTCTTCAGTTCTTAGCCTGGGGCTATGCTCTCCTCATGTGTCGATCAACAGTCGTTAAGTGTAAAAACAATTGTCATTTTACAGCTTCAAGTTCTTTATAGAAAGAACTTTTTCAGGGTCCTTTAAAAATTTCTCCTTGTTCTTCACTTCTGCAGGTGATATGGTAAGACATCGGGGGGATAGTTGTGGCTCCATTTTTAATATCCCCTTCCTATTTTAAGAGGGAAGAAAAATACACAGAACAATTCACATCTTAGATGCATTTAAAGCAAACAAATTATATACATAACACTAAATGAGTTGATAGAATAAAATAATTTATCATCACTACCTCTTCTCTCAGACCTTTTTGAATGCAAAAAGCTAGCATGGTCTTACACAAGCATCAAAAAATGCAGAATACTGTGCTTTAAGCTAGCTACCGTGATGCACAGAAACTTTTTGCATAAAACTATAAACATCTATAAGAGGTTAAAAAATACAACATTCTGTTTAATATTTAAAAGCTTTAAAAATCAGAAGCCATTCTTATTACTGAAATGTAAAAACCACACACTCACCCCGAAAGCCTCCTCCACCACCTCTTCCTCCTCTGAATCCTCCTCCTCCTCCTCCACCTCTTCCTCCTCTGAATCCTCCTCCTCTTCCTCCACCTCTTCCTCCTCCGAATCCTCCTAAACATAGGAAAGAAATTACACTTTGAGGAGCACATAAATATTTTGTTATGCATAACAACTTATTTCACTGACAGCTTCTGCAAGGAAAAGAACAACAACGAAAAACCAGAAACTGTCAATTGCTGGACAGTTACTAGGCCAATTACTAGTCTCTTCTAGGGACCATCTGCAGCATTTTAGGTATTGTTTATTATCTGATTTACAATGTCCAAAATACTGAAGACACTAACAAAACTCCACGATAAACTTCTTTCACGAGAAGTGAAAATTCATTACAACTATTAATTAATAATTATTAATTAATTACAACTCAACAGAACATTTAAACAAACAAAACAAAAAACTTTGAAACATTTGTGCCTCACTGCAAAGGGGCAGAGTAGGGAGAAGAGGCAAGAAACTGCGGTGTAAGAAAAAATTAACTTTAGCTTTAATTGAGGAGTACATCGCAGATGATGTTCAAAAAGCAAAGAAGGGTGAGATCTGCCAGGTCATTCACCCCTCTCTCAAACACTGCATTTCAAGTATTTTGTCCAAACTAGATTTTTAGAACATACTAAAAATACAGCCTTCTCTGACAGTTTTGAGTGTGTATTATCTCCAACCTTTTACCACAAGTTTGCTTAGCAGTCACGCTTTCTGTCTTCGTTATAATCAGCACGCTCTCCTCCCTATGCTTTGGAGCTGTTATTTAGCTAGCTACAGAAGCCTACGGCTTGCCATTGGAAAGATATCGCTGTCTCTTCCACTGAGTCATCAAACAGAAATACACATAACATTTTTCTTTGCAATACAACTGTTGATATTCAAGCACTCAACTGCAGCTTTACCAAAAAAACCAAACCATCCCACAAAAAAACAAAGATCAAAAAAACCAAACAACCCACTCCACACCAAAAAAACCCAAACGTTCTGCAGCTTCCATTCTTGGGATCTTACCTCTACCACCGCCTCTTCCTCCTCCACGTCCACCACCACGACCTCCTCTACCACCTCCTCTGGGAGCACCTTTTTCTCCAGGTGGCCTTGGCAAAAATCTCTGAAGGGGTAGCAGCTTTGCTGGATCAATGTAAAACTGTAGGAAGAGAGTTCCATTAGGCTTTGAAAATACCAAGGCTAAAGAGCACATTAATATACCCCTTTACGAATACCCACAATTTGGTCTTAACCCTTTATGTCAAACTGTCCTCTGCAAACAGCCAAATAAAGAAAGCACACAAGAAATAAATCACAGTGTTATAAAGTTATTAAAAGATAGATGATATTTGCATGAGTTTCATTTGTTCCACCTTTTTTTGCAGGGCAGGGAGAAGGAAGAACATGGCAGATACAAAAGCGAAAAGGAAAAGGAAGTGAATGCTTATGTTTACAAAGGACAACTAGCTTTTAATAAAAAGCTAGTTATTATTATTATCTGATGAGATAGAGTAGATTTATCTAACTGATGACATACAGCAGAACTCTCTTATTGAGACTGGCTAACCTTTTGCATTTTTTTAAATGAAGAGGCTTTCATGTTCTCAGACAGTTTCACTGAAAAATACTGTTAAATTCTTTAAGGAACACAGCAAGAACAAAACATTAGAAATTGTGATTTTGATTATTATATGAAAGGCACATTCAGACATTTTCTAAATTAGTATTTTATAAATGAAGCTAAACATCACCACCGCAAATGAAAAATTACAATTAAAATATGAGGAGAAACTATTTCCAATTTTTCTCAGGGTTTTTTCATAGTTTACAAATATGATATTTTGTGGTAAAATCACTTCTTCCTTCCACGTATGAAGGCACATGGAAGAACATACCAGTGGAAAGAGTACATAAAAATGTAATTGTAAAGAAACAAATGTGTATAGCAAGTGATGACCCCTTTAGCCCCAGGGTGACCTCAAGGCTTATCTGGAACAATTTACATGCTGCAGGGGCTCTGCTAGCGCTGCTGCTGCTGGGTGGTACAACTGCCTGGCTGTGGAAAGATAAGAGCCAGCAGGGACTGCTGGACCAACCACATGCCCAGCCTCAACCTACAGCGAAGCGGCAGACACTCTCTGTAACCCCACATGCAGTCTTGTACGAATCCTTTGGCTCTCCAGTATGCAAGGACTTTGGTATGCGGTTCCCAAGATCAAAAAGAGCTGCTGGCCAACTCTGCTTAATTAAAACTCAAGATTAAATGGGAAAGCAAGGATCCGCGAAATCCAGTAACGTATTTTCTTAATGCGTTATTGTAGGAAGAAAAAAAGTTTCTGAAATTCAAATAATTACGATACAAAAAGTAAATCTGCAAGTGAATACATTCAGAGCGTGAGAGTGATTTAAACCTGCACGTTTTTCTTCACATTTAATGTGGGAGGGGAAAATGCATGCAGGTAGTTACTGATGCTCAACCAACCAACACAGGCTAAGTCTTACTGCCATGTTACAGGGTTACTCCCCCAGTTGTCCCACTTTTGTCATGGATTCTGTCAATATGGCAGTGACAACAGAATGGACCCACTGCCTCTGTCTCAAACACGCTTGCTTTGCAAGAGGACGTCCTAGCACAAGCCCACTTTTATTGGCAGTTTAAGTAATAAGCTGGACAATGAGCAACAGGACATCCTGGCACAAACTCACTTTTATAATTAAGTAATAAGCTGGAGCATGAGCAAGGTCCCCTAATGCACCAAAAAAAACCCCGCTCCCTTGATCCAACTCTGTTATAGGCGAGTAACCTATAGCAGAAAATTTGGTCAGGTAGCTAGAAAAAGTAAACATCTCAAAAGCCCACGGATCCAAAAGACATCTGCCAGTACTGGTACTGACTGAAAACCTCTGCCTGACATAAGGTACTCTGTCATATTGAAAAAGCTTTAAGACAGGCACTTAATGTGAATGAGGCACCTACTGACACCAACAGTTGCAGCTAGACTTGTGACTGTTCACATCTAACTGGTAGCCAAGCCTTGAACTATTTTAAAATCCTAAAGAAATTCCATTTAATAATCAATCAGCCTTTAAAAAAAAAACAAACCAATATTGTATGTCACACATTTTTTTTGAAGGATACAAAATCTCTCAGCTGTCCGAAGATTTCATCCACTTTGCCAATCTGTTCCTTATTATCCAAGTACACTGGGGCGTTGAAATAAGGCACCTTGTTTTCTTCTGTTTTACATTTACAAACAATGTCATCTTCACACGGATGCATGAACTCTCCCAATACTGAAATAAAGAACAAACAAGCTAAAGATATGGAGCAGTCATTCTAAATTAAATAAATATAATCTCTCCATGTAACTTACAAACTACCCTTTCTGGAGGCCCCTGGTCATATCCGCCTCTGTTGAAGCCTCCTCGTCCACCTCCCCGTCCAAAGCCACCTCGTCCACCACGATTAAAGCCACCTCTGTCACCGCCACCTCCTCCACGATTGAAGCCACCTCCTCTTCCTCCGCCGCCTCCTCTTCCACGAAAAGACATTTTCTACTACCTCCTAAATTGTGGACAAAAATCAGTTGTTTAAGACGTAAAAGACATTTCACATTTGATTTGCTATGCAAATTAAAAGTCTCCCGACAGCCTCGTTTGTTAATTTAATGGCTAGCCGTTTCAGTCCTCACTAAAAACATGCAGGCACGTGAAAAATCGGGTTTACACCCAAGATGTCACCCACTGCAACGCCTACCTGTAGAACGTGGCTACAACAGTGACGGCACGTTTCCCACTCATATATACGAGGGTTGAACGTGACAGCCTCCAGCCCCAGGAGAAGACTCTGGCGCTCTCCAGCCCCAGCCCCGCGAAGGAGCGCCACAAGGCGGGAACGTCCTCGGCGCACACCCACGGCGCCTTTCCCAGGCACCTCACAGGGCCGCGGGGCACC